GCAAAAAATATTTAACTTTACTTAGTACGGAGATGCTTCTTGACAGTTTGGCTTGTATATGCTTTATGTGAGGTTTCCAGCAGATTTTGTTATCTATTATCACACCCAGAAATTTTGTATCCGAAACTTGCTCTATTTCAACATTGTTTACTAATAATTTTGCTCCTGCATCTTTTTTACAATTTCCGAATAACATAAATGTAGTTTTTTCCAAATTTAATGATAGCTTATTTCTATCAAACCATGTTTTCAGTTTAATCATTTCTTGTGTGACAATTTCCAAAAGCTGATGTAAGTTCTCTCCAGCACAAAAAATATTTGTATCATCTGCAAATAGAATAAACTGTAGTATATCTGATGTTCTGCATATATCATTGATATAGAGGATAAACAGCTTTGGTCCCAATACTGACCCCTGCGGAACTCCACAAACTAAAATGCCTTTTAGTTACATTCTGGGAAGGCAATATTTTATGATCCTGTATTTAGGCACATAAAATCTCTTTTTCAGGAGATACACTGGCACTGTTGTTTGAATTCTGTTTTATATCACACTCATTCTCTGCCTTCTTTGCCTCCTGGGGCTCTTTCTCAGATTTCAGCATCCACGATGTGGAGCTTCCAGGACAGCTTGGATCTCTTTTTATTGAAGCTAAGACCTCTTTGCTAGTGTGTAATTTGAGCAATGATCTGGAGTATTACAGTGACAGTACCACTGTGGTTTCAGAGCTGGATGCACTGGGTGATGAGCTGCTGCTGGATGATGACACCTCTTACCTGGATGAGGCCTCAGCTGCCCCGTCTATCCCTGAGGGAATCCCCAGTGACAGCAAGACAAATAAGGTGACAGTCTACAGAGCTCAGTTTTCATGACATGAAGGGCAGGGTTGTGGAAAATACATGAAAGTAAAATAAAAAGTAATCATAAAGAATTTTTCCTACTTCAAAATGGACCTTTGGGGTGTGACTGTGTATGTAAGCAAACTATTAAACCTGCCACGAATTCTGGTGCCAGTTTCTAATCCTGTGTATGTGTTTGGTAGATTAACTATAATGTGCAAAACTAAGTTTTTTCCAGTCCACTCTATTGTTTAAACACAAACCTGCTAAGTGAGTAACACTTGAAATGTAAGTGTTTTGCTCGTGGCTGATGTTTTTTTCTTCTTTTGTGTTCAGGATGGTGTGCTCGTGGATGAGTTCGGCCTCCCTCAGATTCCTGCCACATAAACAAGAAGCAAATAAAAACAGCTGCACTCGAACTGAAAACACTTTTATATGTAGAGTAACATTTATACATGCAAAACCATTTGATGTGAGAACACTACAATTTGGAGGCTGTTCTGGTTTCAGGTTGTGTATTGTTACTTCTACCGTGCTGGCATGTGGCCTTGTAACATACTAAACCTTTTTTTTTTAAACATAATTCCCTTCATCTTCTCTTTCTTTCATCATCAACAGCTTGTCTGTGTCGTTCATTAGTGTTCCTTAGTGTTTATTTATTTCTGTTTGTTATTAATTTTGTGTGATTTTTAGTCACTAAGATCATGTCTGCATTCTCAAAAGTGGAGGTTATTCACACTTGGGCTGTTTAAAATATCTGCAGGGTTATTTGAAACATGCAAAATAAAAATGTTTGTTTTAAATCAGCTGTGAGTTCTTAATTTATGGCGTATTTGTTCATCCTCCTCTATCTTGTTTTTAGCTCTTAAGTAGACATTGCTAGTACCACGTTGCTGTCAGCCTGTTTTAATTCTCCATGGCATAGATTCAACAAGGTGCTGGAAACATTCCTCAAAGATGTGGTTCATCCATGATGTGAGTCTCCTGCTCCACCACATCTGGAGTCCATTTGAGTACAGCGAACTTGCTGTCATGTTCAGGAAACTAGTTTGAGATGATTTGTGAGAAACAGCTATCAAAGGATGGATGCTTTTCTGTGGGTGTGGTCATAAGGGGATGGATTTGGTCAGCAACAATACTCAGGTAGGCTGAGGTGTTTAAACGATAAGTGTGTCAAGAAAATATCTTGTTATCCTGTTCTTAGGTGACATGGAATGGTACCAGGTGTGGTGTTCTGTTACTGTAACCCATCTGCTTCAGGCTTGAGAGCTCTTGGCCATACCTGGATGGCAAGAAGTGGACCTTTCATTTTTTCTGTTGCCATGCTATGATCAGTGTAGCCATTCTCCTCTGACCTCTGGCATCACTGAGTAATTTCCACCTGGAGAATTGTCGCTCACTGGATGTTTTCTCTTTTTTGAACCATTCTCTATAAACCCTGATGGTTGTGTGGAGAAATCCCAGTGAATCAACAGTTTCTGAAATACTCATACTAGCCCGTCTGGCAGCAACAACATACCACATTCAAATTTACTTAAGTAGGGCCATACCAGTGAAACGCCCCTTTCTCTCGGTATAAAGTAGTTTAAGTGCACTACTTAAACTTCTCTGAGATATCTCAGTATAAGAAGTGCAGTTTAAACAATGCGTCTTGTTTTTCTCTCCATGATAAAGAAAATCTGCTGTACATAATGAAGCAAATGTGTCAGCACAACTCTTTGGGCTTAAATTGTAAAAAGAAAAAGAAAAATCTAATTATGGGAAATGTTCTGCCCAAACTGTCATGTAAATAGAAATTACAGTTAAAGGTCCAAAATGTATTTATGTTTCCAATTGTGTTTCAGATTGAAGTCTTTTTTTTAAAATTGAGGCCATTTTTCGCATTACTACCATTTGATTGGCTGACTACATATTTGCATTCACAAACAATGGCCTAATATACCTAATATATACCACATAAGTGACCAGTGGATGTTTGTATTATTGGGTCTATCTTACAATATAAAGCGCCTTGAGGCGACTGTTGTTTGGGTTTAGTGATGCGTAAATAAAACTAAATCGACTTGAATTGTAAATATCTTATATAGTTACTTTAAACCTCAGCACTTCAAGCAAATCCCTAAAAGTGCCTTACAAAGGATTTTCACCCTGGTACAAATAATCACAGTTAACAAGTAACTGTTCTTCACTTATAAGGACATCATTGAAGTGATTTGGAAACAGCCTGGTATTACCAGCAATCGAGTTACACATGTGCTCTGTGGGACACGAACCTACAACCTTTGTTAGCGCTGATACAGAAACTACATTTGCGAAACAGCTAAACATATCACGACTCTGCGTTATTTTATCTGTTTTGTGTTGTTTAACATCATGAATTCAGACCTATTTTGGCCATGTAAAAAATCATTATAGACTTGTAATGTTATAATTGTTGCAATGTCTGCTCCCCCACTGGCCACGTCTGTCATCACGTTTTTTAATCTCAATGACACTTTTGTTTTTAGCCCTTGATCCTCAGATGTGGTAGACTGGAATGAGATAATGTGAAAGACACGAAAGCACCGATGAGCTCGGGCACATAACCAAAGACATATTCAGGAACATCATGTAAGCATGATATCAGCAATTAACGAGTAACCGTGACTTAGACTAGTAACGGTATTGAGAGGATTCGGAGGACAGATGGTCAGGTTAAAAATGCGACTCTGGTGGGACTCGAACCCACAACCTTTGAATCACCTCTCAAGAGCTTGACTAGAAGTCCAATGCGCTATCCATTGCGCCACAGAGCCGGTTGGGAGAGCCCCCTTGGCGCAACATGACCTGACATGTTATACATACAGACATCAATTATACAGACTTTAAAAAGCTTTACTGTAGGAAAACTCTACACACTTAAGCTAAATGTATTTACCTCTGTCAGCAGAGTTTCATCGAAGAGTTTCAAGTTGCGCTGTAGACTTCGGCTCGCGTTTTATCACTTTTGTGTGCAGCTGTTGTGTTTGTATTTGCTGTTCCGCTTTTTTAAACAAGTAAATAAATAAAAAGTCAAAAAATTTAAATAATAAATTCAATATTAAATAAGTAAAATTGCATTTAAAAAAGTGAAAGAAAAGAAAAAAGGGGGTACTTCCGGTGTTCAAGCTTAACTGGTGGTCGTGCTGATCGGTGAAGAACCACAAAAGTAGTAGGTCCAGATATGTCTAGTCGTAGATTCGTCACATACATTGACACCTCTTGTTGTAAAAGGTTTGAATGACCAAAGTTTTGTAAGGTCGCTCATCCAAGTGACTTCTTCAGTCCCAACTGACTTTAGGTTTCCCCAATCTTATAAACAGTACATTTGCATAATGACTGAAACTAGCACCACTGAAGGAACAATGGGCTAGGAGGTCAGTTAATTGATCATTAATATGTAAATTCTCATGACCATTGATCAACCTAAAGTCAGCTGAGACTAAAGTAGTCACTTGGATGAGTGACGAAACGGCTCTCCTACTGAAAAGCTTTTGGGGATTTACCTACCTGGATGACTGAGCATGCATCAAGATATTCTCATTGTTGTATCTACTCTGTGTGGTAAAATATAATTAATCCAATTAATTTCTGATGCACTCTTGGCCATATTTCTCTTGAAAAAGACATTTAGGAGTCTCAATTACACTTTATTCCAGCATAAATAATAATATGTAAAAGTGACTTACAGCTTCTTTGTTGTGACAGGAATGTTCTTTCAGGCTCAAAATTACTTGATACCATTGATGAGAGACGTGTTTGAGATATGTCTCTCATGAATGGATTATAGGCCAACAATTTAAATATCAGAAATCATTTTTTAGCAGATAATCTTGCCTTGGTCACCTGAGAGAGGGTGTAGGATATTGAAAGACCCCAAATCCCTGATGACCCTGGGCAGATCCCCAAAGATGTATTTAGAACAGCAATGTGCGTGTGTATCTGCATGAACTGGTGATTTTATTTATTTGTTGTTAATTAACTTATTACATATAAATTATTTTTGGTAAGCCACATTTTAATCCAGTCAAACATTACACACACTGGTAGCCCTGGGCTATTTTTCGTGGATTCTCTGCGAGAGGAACATATGGAATAACACCACTTAACGCGATCACCAGTTAAACTGTAACACCGGAAGTAGTTAGCAATAAGCAACAGTTAGCTTTGCGTTTGATGTTGTGATTAAAGGTCGCCGGGAAGCAAAATGTCGGAGCAAACGATAACTATGACAGTCGCATACGGTAATAAGATTTCGGCTTTAAACTACACCTTAATCACCACAAAATATAAGTAAAAATTGGGTTTCGTTGTGGCTAAAGCTAGCTAGAAACGGCTCAGCTTCTGTAGCTCTTCTCCACAGACTGTGTGGTTATGTTACTTGAATCCCGCTGGTTATGTGTTGTTCTTCAATAACAAATTAAATATATAAACTACTGTAAATATCAGCATTTATTAAACACGTTTATGAAGAATTGTGTAGCTGTTGTAATTAGTTTCGTTTGAAGACACTTTACAGCACATTTGGGAAACAGGAGGGCTGCTGAGAGAAATTGTATTGTTGCCAATCGCTTGTTAAATGTTTTGTAATTATTTTTCCTCACACGATAGTGAAACAAAATTTTGCAACCCATCGTTAAAAACTGAACCAAACGTGCGCGATAGTTTCCGAGATATGCCGCATGTTCTGTAATTGGATGGGTGCAAATACTTTTAAAGACTTTTTTTATTATTGTTTTTTTAATCCTGGTAGGTGACATTTACTTTCTGAATAACACCGATAGAAGACAAAAGGGTGACAATGATAACTCCCAATCCTTAATAGCTTGAGAGCTGTGTAATATTTATTTATTTTCCTATTTCAGGATCCTCTAAGCACAGCATCACGCTAACAGGACATGAGGATGGAAAAGGACCCACTGTTAAAGACCTGTCAGATGCTCTCGCTCAAGCCACCGGAGTCCCACCTGCCTCTCAGAAACTTATCTTTAAAGGTAGACTTTTAGTCTTCCTTTTTTACACACTCAAATGAGGCCTAATGTAAAATATCAGGTTTTAAAGTTGTCTTTTTAATTTTAGGGAAGTCACTGAAAGACATGGAAGAGAGCCTTTCCAGCTATGGAATAAAAGAAGGCTGCAAACTCATGATGATTGGAAAGAGGGTAAAGCACATTTATACATGTGCTACATCTCTGGTGCCTGAATATGTGCATTTGCAAAACACTGATGATAATCTCTAAACAGAACAGCCCAGAGGAAGAAGCTGAACTGAGGAAACTCAAAGACATTGAGAAATGTGTGGAGCAGATGGCCAAGAAGCTGGAGAAGGTAGACGGGGAGTTGACTGGACTGAAAAATGTAAGCAATCATAGGTCTTTTTGTTTTTTGATAATATATAGGAAAATAAATAAATATTACACAGCTCTCTTTTGTCCCATCTTCTAATGTATTATTGTCACCCCTATCCTATCCTATCACAGGGCTTTCTCGCCAAAGATCTCCAGGCAGAGGCCTTGGGTAAACTAGACCACAGAGTAAAAATAGCAGCTGAGCAGTTCATGAAGATCTTGGAGGAGATAGATGCTATGGTAATGCTATTTTAAGCGTAAGCATCTGTTTTGAGTGTCTGCTTTAATCGTGTGTGTCATGTATAGCAAACCATCAAATTGCTCCTCTTTTAACAGAGTGTTCCAGAAAATTTCAATGACTGCAGAATGAAGAAAAAAGGACTAATAAAAACAGTGCAGGTTAGTGTTTGTTTTTCCCTCTGACAAAACAATCATGCTTTATTTGAAAACTATTGATAATCAAAATAAGTCTGATCTTTACCATATGTCCACAGGATTTCCTCGCCCAGTGCGACAAAATCGAGGCTTGTATATCAGACCATCTATCAAAGATCCAGTCAAAAAACCTGGCTTTGGCAGAATAGTGCAGTCTCTTTAGTCACTTATTCTATACATTGCTCTGTGAGCAATGGCAAAGTGTGCAGAAAGCTTCACGTGTGAAGCAGATCCTGGTTTATTTATTGCTGGTGTGAAGCAAATGATCAAGTGGAAAGAAGGATGCTGGTTATCAGGAACGATGTTGGATACGTAACACAAGCAAATCCTCTTGGTTCAAGACAGATGCAAAGTGCCGACTGAGAAACTTTGACCATGAACTTGCAGGAAATGGATCACATGCCATTTTAATTAGCTAAAAGAGCTGTCAATGCCAAATATCTTAAAATGTCCCGTTTGTTGCCCTGTATGTCTAAAACATAATGAGTTTTGTTCCTCATTGTGCACAAGCTGCAGTGAATGATTTATGATCAGAAATATATAGACACTGTTTAATTGGGGAAGTTCCAAAAAGCAATATCCACTCAGGATAGTGGATTGTTCCCATTGGGCCACAAGAGGCTTATTATGTTGTGGGATAAACATTTATTGCCCTTATGGGTCTGAATGGGTCACTGTTCCCTGGCTTTTACCTGCCATGCTGTCTTTTGAGAACAAGCAATCAACTAGCGACCTTGTACAAGGCGTACCCTGCCTCCCACCCCCCATGACCATGAATTGTGAAAAGTGGTTAAGAAAACTGATGAGTGGATTTTCCAATATGAGTCTGGCACTTGTGAGACTGGCAAATTTTCTTCATCATATGTGATAAGCAAAATTTATTTGGGTTTTAAACTGATTGGCCCAGAGCAATAACAGCAAAATTACAAGTAAAAAAAGAAAAGGTTAGTACTGCAGGAGTGTCCATATATCGCAATCGCATGTACTATATTCAACATCAAGAATCCTAAGAAATCAAGCACCTAAATCCAGTGGCTGATCCTGAGTGTTCATATATCTTTGAATCTTGTGCTAAGACTGATGCATCACATCGAATTCTTTGGTTTTAAAATAAAACTTTAAAAAAAATAAAGAGCACTGGTGATTCTTCTCAGAATACATTTTAATCTCCACGCTTATTCTATAAAATACAGCTGATTCATTTGCAATAACAGACATCTGGTGTCAGTTTATTTCCAGCTTTATCCGTGGGGGTCTTTTTATACATCTCCACTAGCTTATAGAGACCCCCTAGTAGTGTTATGACAGATGTGCAAACAAGCTTTCAAAGTAGGATTGGTTGGAGGGACCCAGAGGTCCAAAAAGCAGCTTAAACAAATGAGCTTCAGTAAAGTAGACCACAGTAAAGCTTTGTCATGAGCCAAATTACAGAACATAGCTTTCCTAACTTGAATGGAAACTCATTAAACATAGACATGGAGTAAAGAATGAACCCACTAGTCATCCTTATCCTTTGCACCGTGTTTCAGAATACGTGTGAATGCTACATAGTTGAAATTTCCTTTTTTATCAATGGGCGCCTCGCGGAAGAGCTCGTCCACTTCTTCATCTGTAAACCTGTCACCCATAGTGGTGAGCAGCTCCCGCAGGCACTCCTCCTGAATCACACCTGTGTGAAGAAACAGTTTCACTCTTGCAGGTGCTTCCTGATGTTAGCACTGAGCAGATATCTTCAAATTAAGCACTTACTACAAAACAATGTCTCTACATGCCAGAGTCTGAGACAAATTCACATAAAAAGATGCGAAACTTAAACAGTTGAACACATCAGCTCACCTGTGCCCTCCTCGTCGAAACAGGCGAAAGCGTTACGGATCACTTCCTCTGGATCTGTGCCGTTCAGCTTCTCTCCGAACATCGTCAGGAACATGGTGAAGTTGATTGGGCCAGGTGCTTCATTCATCATGGCCTCCAGGTACTCATCTGTGGGGTTCTTACCTGGGAAAAAGCTCAAGGTCAGAGTGACTCTAACCTGCTAACCACATTTAATGGTTTGTTTTTAGAAAAAGATTGAAATCTTTTAACTTCTGAATACGAGCCCCAAATAATGCAGTTTTAACTCCATAAGACGTTATCACTAACTAAATATGTGTAAATAAATCAAGTTTACCTAATGAGGCCAGCATGTCATGAAGGTCTTCTTTGTCGATGAAGCCGTCCCTGTTTTGATCGATCATGTTGAAAGCCTCTTTGAACTCCTGGATTTGAGACTGATCAAACATGGCAAACACATTGGAGGTGGCACGCTGAGGACGCTTTTTGGTGTTCTTTCCCTTGGCCCTTTTGCTTGACATGTTGGCAGGTTGTTAGTCCCTCTCCTGTAATACAGGAGCATGAAAGTTGTCAGCTTGGATCAAGCAACACGTTCAAATGAAAGATTCATTCACATTTTTTTCTTATCTTGACTTCATTACTGACGCTCTCCATCTGGTGAAAGTTCCTTGGTTACACTGGCTATTAAGTGTCTTTAGATTATTTACTGTGCAAGCTATGAACTGGAAGGTTAATGTAGGTGAGTTCAGGCAATGCATTTAATACTAATGAAAACTTATTAACATGGTTACAAGATGTTGGTAATTCAATTTAAAGTCAATTTGGTTGACACTACTATCACATTGTCATATAGCCTCCTAATTTGCCTTTTTTTAAAAAGCAGCTAAATATTATACACTCAGTGGCCACTTTGTTAGGTACAACTTTACATTAACACAAGTACGTAGTCAACAAGAACATCATGTGCCACCAACTCAGTGCAGTCTCTTAACAAAGCAGACTTGGTTAGGAATGTCAAATATAGTTCCTTATTCAATTTATGCCTTGAAGATTTAAACGAATTATGACAAAAGGGGGTCCAATCCAGTAATGGGTGAACCTAACTAAAGAGTCTGACGAGTTTAGCTCAGTCTATGATCACTTACAACGGATATATGCACTCGGTACTTGTTTTGTGATACGAAAGCACTTAAGTTGTCATTTGTTTACTGGATATTTATGTTATTAGATCAATATAATTTCAAATTATGCTCACCTGTCACGCAATAACATAACAATAACGCAAATATAGGTATTGACATGTTGTTTACATCACTCATATTTGAGCTGTAGCACACACGCACTACATAGCGCAATGCAGGAATCACACAAAATGCGAAGAAAACCCCTTAATTATTTGCCAGCTTTGCCAGCTAGCCCCTTGCTGACCTAAATAACTGACTGACCAGGCTAGCCTTAGCGAGCTAGCAGAGATTTATTCACAAGAAAAAAACGAGTCCTTAGTCCTCAAACTCTGCAGCTTCATAAACATAAAATAAATCGCCTACCTTAGAAAAAACGTATAATTTCTAGGCCCAAAAAGCTGCACACACAGCTACCACAGCATCCACAAGCTGATGAAGAGGAACATCAATGTTTTATTTCCTCTTGCCTAAACTGACCAATGAGAGTGAAGTTGGAAGAAACCAACAGTCTGGAATATTCCACGCCTTGGGTTTGTTTACGTCCCTCTCCTCTTCTTGTTTTGGATGAAATGACCTACGTACTGCTTGTGGTAATAATAAATCCATGATTTATACACTGATACGATTATAAGTACAGCCTTAATTGAATCATGTTTTTTATTTGTCCGGACGACTAATAATGTAGTCAACATATGTCACCACTAGGTGGCAGCAATTACTTGCATGTCCAAGACGTTTGTTTGAATTAGCCAAAATGGTTAATGAGTCTTTGTTTTCAATATTTAATAAGGAAGTTGAACCACTAAATATTTTTTTGCGCAGCGGAATAATAACGGATCGATTTCAAACAAATAAGCTAAACTATAATCTAAGGGAAAGTGAAGTTTAAAACTTAACAGCATTGGTGTTAAATTTGGTCGGTGGATGATATGATTGTACTAGGTTAGCAGGTTTTTGTTTTTTAAGACTGAGAACCCGTCCTCTATTGTATTTTCTTTTATTAGTGGCATTTTTTCTTCTTCTTTTTTCGGTTTGTGGTGCAGTTCATATGCCTTTTATTACAGTGAACTGGGTGAAACCACTGGAGTCCTGCATATGCCCCTGAAGTACAGTACACAGCGGAGGGCCAGGCCAAAAAGAAGCTCCTCAGCTCAGCTGGCCTGTCTCATGGTCTCATGGTCTAAATTTAAAGCTGCCCCAGCCTTAAAAGGTCCTGACGGTGTCTTGCGCATTCTGCCGAGTGGCAGCATTATTTTTGTTCTGTGGACTGCCGCCCTGTCCACTGCCCCTCACCCTGCTGCTTTGCCTGGATCTCAACTTGCTTTAGCTACTTCTGGATTAACACACATTTTCTCTTATTTTCAGCGATTGTGGATTTTTAATTTGTGGTGAGTGAGTGTGCATATTTTCTTAAATAAGCGGAAGTACTTATGTGCTCTGGTTATCATTTAAAACCATGACTCCATAAGGCCCTAGGCCGGCTTCCACTGTATGATTATGATTATTTATTTTTTACTTAGTTTGTTTATAAATGTGTTTTAATTAATCAGTTTTATTACATACCCTACTAACAGGGTTTTGTTCATTTTGAGAACTAGTGCTCTGGTATATTAGCCTGCATGTGTCATTGTAGTGAAGTGTCATCCTAATCTTCCAATTAACACCAGCCTTACCTTACAAAACTTTACGTTTTTATGACCTGGCCTTGTTAAAATGTTTTTAATGCATTCTGTGCCTTCATGGCTTACAGTCCAGTTCAGTGTGTAACTCTGGATGGCTTAGTCTGCTTGTAGTAGATGTTGCTCAAGCACATAAAAAGGAGAAAATAGTTTTGTGTAATTTGGGAGAAACTGCAGATCATATAGTTACTGTTGCCTGCCTCCCAGCTGGAGCTGCTCTTCTTTTTAACCTGAGCCATATCTAAAATAACTTAAGTGGCCTCACATGGGGAAAGGTCAGCTGGATGATATTATTATTATTATTATTATTATTATTAGACAAAATATCAATATTTCATTCATTCCAATCTGCTTTATGTTGTCTTACAATAAACATAAAACCTTTGAAGTTGGACTTTTATTTTGAAGAAACAACCATCTAGGCTTTAGGAATTTGCCATTGTCACAATATTCTGACATTTTATAACTCGGATATATGAATAACTAAATAACCCTCAATTAAGCAAGTACTGAACATAGATATTTGGTAGCTTAATTACACAAAACCTGCAAAATCAGTAAGTATATTTTAACTTGTTCTTGCCATCTGTCCACGCTTGGTGTCCAGTTCATCACAAAACATTTAAAAAGCCCACTGCAGGAAATGATCTGACTGTAAATTTACATATTATTGTTCAAGACTTCCTTCCGTCTTCTTCCTCCCTCCACCCTAAGCGGTCACGACAGATGGCTTTTAACAGGTTTCTTCCTGTTAAAAGGGAGTTTTCCTTTCCCACTGTCGCCAAAGCACTTGGTCAAAGGGGTAATATGATTGTTGGGGTTTTCTTTGTTGTAGGGTCTTCACTTTGCCTTGAAGCAACTGTTGCTGTGATTTCACAGTACGTGAATAAAGTTGAATTAAATTGAATTGAAAAATCATCAAAACCACCAGTTTATCACCTGCTGCTTCATTTAACACAAAAGTAGATCTTAACCAGAGCTAACACATAAGCTGCTTGCCCAAAACAAACAAACAAAAAATCACAATAACAAGTTTAAAAACATATTTTTAACAAGCAACCAATTCTCTTATCCCTTAATCCCTGCTCCTACTACCTTATTACCGGCCTCTGCACTAGACTAACCTCCAGTAGAGAAACCAGTCTTTAATAATAACAGTCAGATTGATTCACAGAGCGGGTAAAGTAAAGGACAGTCATTATAAGTTGGCGGAGTGGCCGTCAGGATGTCAGCATCATTACAAGTGACGCAGAAGCTGCAGCATCAGCATCAACATCAACATGAGGAGAAGCAGCAGCAGCATCTCTATGAGAGCAGCTATTACCTGAGCAGCAAGTCGTCTGTTAGCAAGCAGTCATTCTCAACTTTCAAGACCACCAGGCATCGGTAAGAGGATTAGAGTGAAGGGGTTGCAGAGTCCAAGGTTGTAACCTGCCACTCCTAGTACTTCAGAAATGATGAATGTTCCCCTTCAAATATTCAGCATTGTGCTTGTGGTCTGAAGTGGGTTTAGCAGCAGGAAGGAGAGTGCGTGCATACCAAAAAGGGTTTTCATCGAGAGCAGGTGCTTTTTTATGCTATAATTTATTAATTGATTTTCTTTTTTACGGTAATAGATTTTAAAAAAAGAAAATATAGCACTTTTTAATGTTAACATACTGTTGTAGCATGGCCTTTAAAGTTTTAAAGTGTATTAAATGGTAAATCATGAGGGTGACAACGTATTTTCCTTCCAGCTCTTTCTCTACATACGGTAGGTTTAATCAGGAATTAGACATTTAATCTGAAGGAAAAAATGTTTTGTAATAGTTGTTCAAATAGGAAAAAGCTGAAGAAGTGTGTAAGTACAAGTACAAGAAAGCAATAGGGTTCAGGGCCTGGAGTCTTGGCATAATAGCATGGGGACCATTACACATGGCTGCCAGGTAAACAGAAGGATAGATGTAAAACAACAGCCACTCTCCCTTGTTTTTTTATAGCTCAGATTTGTGAACTGACTTTTATTTTAAATCTCATCTCTAAGTGTCAAAGCAGACATGTCAATATCGAACCTCCTAAATTGTCCAGTTATATGAGAGTAATCCACTTATAAAGTCTATATCTTAAAGTAATGTTTCTAAGTTCATATCCAAAGGCTTTTTCTCATGTGTTTGTGTTTATACATGAGTTTTGTTGCTATAACATCTATTTAAGGAGGCAGGTGCATAGGAGAGGGACAAACTGATCCAATGTTTGACACAGACTCCCACACACTATCTAACTTGGACAAACTATTTATTTGTGATGCTTTGGCGCTAGACTTTCATGAGGCATTTTGCCAGCAAATAAATGTACTTTTGCAAGTTAAACATTGTGGGAGAATGTTTGCAATGTTGGATCAGACTGTAATGTTTAAATAAAATAATTTCCACTGTGTTAGAGCTGATATATTGACATACTTTTATCTATTAACCCACTGAAGTAATACAGAAAAACAGTGAATGCAACAATACAACAACAGCATTAGAATACAACAACATTGCTAAGACATTTATTTCTTCAATGAAATAATTTCTTTTCTTCTGTTCATTTGTTTTCTGTTCTGTTAAATTGCACATTATTGTTATTAGGCCACAAGCTGAATAAAATATGCAATTTAAGGATTTCAATTTGATCAAAAAGGTTAATAATGGCAAAAGGTTTACAGCCTTACCTTGACATCTTTAAAACTACACATTAGTGAATATTGTAAGGAATTTAAATAAAGCCTGACTGATTTATTGACAGGTCGATACTATTGGACAATGATAACTGTCTGCTGCTCTGTCAGCATCACCATTTATAATGACTGACAAATAACATTTAAAAAGGGAAAGAAGATTGGAGAAACACCCTTCAGCCATATTTGAGTGTTGATGTTGCAGTGTTTCTCCACCAGAGGGCACTCTGTAACTTCTGTTAAGGCAAGTCTTTCAAATCCCTTAAACACAACCAGCCTACGTAAATAACTTTACACCTATCAAATACTGGAAAATCTGCATATGTTTCATGTGTCTGAAAAAAAAGAATTAGCCAATGTATCGGTATTCCTCCTAATTAGAAATATCAGTCAGGTTCTATTTTTAAGCCAGTGATTTTTCTTGGCTTGTTTTTGTTTATCTTTTGTCTCTGAAATTTATGAACATGCACCTTCCCGTACCAACATGCAGTATGGTTAGCATTTCTTTGTCATTTAAGCTGTGGTGCTCAGTGTACATGCTGGAGCTGGGATAACTTTCTAAATGAGGTCAAGGAAAGAATTTCAGCTGTAGTGAAGGGCTGCCAGTTATATTCCTGGACAGCCAAGCTATTTTTGAAGATGCGACATGAGCTTGTTGCCTATAAGCCAACTGTAAAGACATTGTAAAGAAGTGATGATATTGTAGCTGGTTGCAGGCTGGCTTTCACAGTAGTCTGATAGGTATTAACCCGTGGGCCAGTAGTACAGAATAGCTGTTGTTGATTTTAAGCATCTGTGTCTTGTTTATTTACTAAAAAAAATAAATCAATTTGTACTTTACTGATTCTGATTTTCAGACTGACATTCTTTAGCTTGTCAGTCGGAAAAGAAGTGCTCTTTTTCAGCCATCAAACTTTATTACCTTTGACTTTGTTTCACACTGAAGCAGGCATCCTCTCAGCTCACCTGGTGAGTCAGCAATAGAAATAACGTCCTGACATTACAGCATCTTTTGTGAGACTCCATCTGTCTGTCTCTGCTGTGCATTGAGCACCTTCCACAGATTGTGTCCTGCTTCACCAGTACATAACAGACTTCATCAAAGCCACGCGTTCCTGCTTCCTTTTCATGCCAAATGGATAGACTAGCGCTGACTTGGCAGAGATCATGAGTGAGAGTGAGGCTTTAAAACAAGTCTTATGTACAGCAGTCCCAGTTCCATTAAAAACAAAGCCTTCTGACAATAGTGAGGACTAAGAGGCTAATGAAACAGACTGTAAATGGGTCAGGATCTTAGGGAGCGAACCGGAATACATCTTCCTCTCTGAGTAACTGGACTATAGCACCAGCTGAATATGTCTTTATGTAACCACCATATTTATTTAAATGTTTAGTTTTGAGTGAAACATCAGAAACATCAAAAACAAGCACAATATCGCCCTTCTGTCTTTGTCAAAATCCTGGTGTGTTTCTATTGTAATGTGATTCTTAATATTTTCCACCAAGAATATTTTTGCATTGGTTGTAACTGGGTAAAGAAAACTTTATAAAAGTTTGTGTGATTGGAAGAAAAGACTGAGAACCACATTTACTATTATTGTTTGTTTGTTCCAAGAAAACAAACGGATGCAGAAGTCTGATTCTGGCTCAGGTTGTTTCTCTGGCACTCAGCTAACTGGCATTTTATTTCTTCTGAAGATGAAATTTTTTTTTTTTCTTTGAAAAAAGCCAAGGAATCTTCCACAATCACTCAGCACATCATTATTTAATAAAATAATAATAATTAAAAAAAATAATCATGCAATTTATTTGGAGCTACACTGTTGCTTTAGTAAGATCAATTATGCCTTTTACCTCTTAGCAAGAAGCTCTCTGTGAAGACAGAGAAGGGGCAGGAGGTGGTTAAACTGAGCCCACTACCCAAGAGAGCCAAACGCACCTACCTGGCAATGGACAAGGACAAAGAAGTTATCGGCTATGTTATTCCGGTGTTTAGAGCCAAGTGAGTATGCAATCTGAGTTTGTGGATATTTCTTAGCAAGTAATCAGTATAATTTCTGAGATTCATAGTGTCCTCTCTGTTCTCACATCTTGGTTGGTTTGTATCGTTCTAGTCATGATGTAGTTCGGGGCTTAATGGAGGCCCAGGAGGAGGTCACAGAGGAGGGCATCAACTATGTGGCCATGAGGAACCTGTTTGTCAGGGAGGCCAGGGAGGCCATGGAGGTGAAAGTGGAGAAGAAAACCAGGTCAAAGCATGTCAGGGAATCTGCTGAACGCCTGGAAATGAGCAGGACGGTAAATCCTTTCCATAGTTTTGTGAATGCAAAGGTTTAACCATTTTCACATGACCCATACAGGCGTTGATGGGCTTCATATCACACACTCCCGCTACAGATGGAGGAATGGTCGGAGTTCCGTAAGAAAATGAACCCAGACAGCCTGACACACCGCCCAGAGTTCATTGTCAAGCCCCGTGGACAGACTGTTTGGGAGGGCAAGGATGTCAAGTTGCACTGCACCGTGGCTGGATGGCCCAAACCCAGGATTGCCTGGTACGTTCCAGGTTTATAAGTTCCCTTCTTCTCTGAGTCACAAAAAAAGAGGCTGATGAAAACAGTCTGTCATGCGTGTGTCATAGAGAAGTTTCCATCCAACACGTCAGTCGAGTTTATTTTCCACAGTTGCCACATAAACACCTACATGCACCATGGCAATTAAAAACTCTGAAGACAAGAGTAAAAATAAACATTGGTTTTCTGCTGCTTTTAAGGTATAAAAACAACGTCCTCATCGATGCCAAAGCCCACTCCGAGAAGTACACAGCTGAGAGCAATTACAACATGCACTCTCTGGAGATCAAGAAGTAGGTAATCATTCAGCTGGCCTCTGAATTAACAGCACACACCCAAGATAAACGGTATTAGTGTTTGTTTGTTTTTTGCAGCGCCGAATCTATTCATGCCGTTAATAGTTAATCGTGATAACCATTTTGTTTCCAGCTGTGATTTCTTCGACACTGCTAAGTATCATATCTCTGCCCTCAATGTGAAAGGGGAAGCTTCTGCTGTGGCCTCTGTGGTTGTGAAAAGTAGGTAACTCGTTTAATGTTCTTTTCCACATGTCCCTCTCTGCAGCAGCTCTAGTCGATTTCAGTTAGCGGTCAAAGTTCAAAGTAGAGGTTTAAAACTCAGCAGTGTCCTACAGTTGTGCCCTGAGTATGTTTCAGGAGACAAATCCCTCCAACTCGCGGACCACAGGAAGGTCTTAAAGCTCATTCACGAGCGTCAAAGGGCATTTCACCCCTCTGGCCTGTAGGTCTATTTTTTCATCTGTACTCTTGTGTTGAGTTGCCAGTTTTGGTAGCTTTCCGCCAAAAAGATGTCTGCCTTCTCCTGAGTGTAAAGATAGTAGCCAACACTTTTGGAAGAGCCAAAAATTACATTTGAATTCAGCAGCAGTTTTGTTTCCCAGTAGTCTGCTGCTCAAAATCTACAAACCTCGTTAGGGGAAGTTTTAAACGGCCGCTATTTTCTTTTTACCAAACTACACATGCCAACCGTGTCACTGAAAAATGAAGTGCACATTTACCCATCATCTGAGCTGTAATGTTAATTAGCTGCACACCTCTTTTGTTGAGCAGATATTGACAGGATGACGGCTCTCGCTGTGGTTCACTAGAGACCCAAAGCTTAAGAAATGGCTCTGTAACCCTTTCCAGAGAGACAGATGTCAGTGATGTTTTAAAAAGAGCATGTTTATTTTCTTTTATATATATATATATATATATATATATAATATATATATATATACATATACACAGTGGGGCAAAAAAGTATTTAGTCAGCCACCGATTGTGCAAGTTCCCCCACTTAAAATGATGACAGAGGTCAGTAATTTGCACCAGAGGTACACTTCAACTGTGAGAGACAGAATGTGAAAAAAAATCCATGAATCCACATGGTAGGATTTGTAAAGAATTTATTCGTAAATCAGGGTGGAAAATAAGTATTTGGTCACCTCAAACAAGGAAAATCTCTGGCTCTCACAGACCTGTAACGTCTTCTGTAGGAAGCTTTTCTGTCCCCCACTCGTTACCTGTATGAATGGCACCTGTTTGAACTCATCATCTGTATCAAAGACACCTGTCCACAGCCTCAAACAGTCAGACTCCAAACTCCGCCATGGCCAAGACCAAAGAGCTTTCGAAGGACACCAGGAAAAGTATTGTAGACCTGCACCAGACTGGGAAGAGTGAATCTACAATAGGCAAGCAGCTTGGTGTGAAAAAATCAACTGTGGGAGCAATCATCAGAAAATGGAAGACATACAAGACCACTGATAATCTCCCTCGATCTGGGGCTCCACGCAAGATCTCATCCCGTGGGGTCAAAATGATCATGAGAACGGTGAGCAAAGATCCCAGAACCACACGGGGGGACCTGGTGAATGACCTGCAGAGAGCTGGGACCAAAGTAACAAAGGTCACCATCAGTAACACACTACAACGGCAGGGAATCAAATCCCACAGTGCCAGACGTGTTCCGCTGCTGAAGCCAGTGCATGTCCAGGCCCGTCTGAAGTTTGCCAGAGAGCACATGGATGATACAGCAGAGGATTGGGAGAATGTCATGTGGTCAGATGAAACCAAAGTAGAACTTTTTGGTATAAACTCAACTCGTCGTGTTTGGAGGAAGAAGAATACTGAGTTGCATCCCAAGAACACCATACCTACTGTGAAGCATGGGGGTGGAAACATCATGCTATGGGGCTGTTTTTCTGCCAAGGGGACAGGACGACTGATCCGTGTTAAGGACAGAATGAATGGGGCCATGTATCGTGAGATTTTGAGCCAAAACCTCCTTCCATCAGTGAGAACTTTGAAGATGAAACGAGGCTGGGTCTTCCAACATGACAATGATCCAAAACACACCGCCCGGGCAACAAAGGAGTGGCTCCGTAAGAAGCATTTGAAAGTCCTGGAGTGGCCTAGCCAGTCTCCAGACCTCAACCCCATAGAAAATCTGTGGCGGGAGTTTGAAAGTCCGTGTTGCTCGGCGACAGCCCCAAAACATCACTGCTCTCGAGAAGATCTGCATGGAGGAATGGGCCAAAATACCAGCTACTGTGTGTGCAAACCTGGTAAAGACCTATAGTAAACGTTTGACCTCTGTTATTGCCAACAAAGGTTATGTTACAAAGTATTGAGTTGTATTTTTGTTATTGACCAAATACTTATTTTCCACCCTGATTTACGAATAAATTCTTTACAAATCCTACCATGTGGATTCATGGATGTTTTTTTTCACATTCTGTCTCTCACCGTTGAAGTGTACCTCTGGTGCAAATTACTGACCTCTGTCATCATTTTAGGTGGGGGAACTTGCATATATATATATATATATATATATATATGTCAGGTTATCTATGTCTAATGTTAAAATGTATTTGATGATCTGAAACAAATACTTTTCACATATAATATAAATTATATCTGAGTCTATAGTTCCAGAGGTCAGAGGTCAACATCCCTTTTATAGGTTTTAATAACTTTGTTGTATAAATATTTCCCCATAGGGTTCCAAGAGGGTGTTGAACCAGGCCCACTCGATCCTAAACCACGTGAGATCACTTTATATATTATAAACAAACATTCTTTTTTAAATTATATAAAGTAAAGTAGCTCTAACCACACATTTCTGTTCACTATCAGTTTTATTTGAGCTTTTTTAAGAATTGTTTTTATTAGAGATGGTAAATTTAGCTATTTTGGATTAAAGTCAACATCAGTATATTTTCAAATAAGCGTTAGTGGAGTTCAAAAAGAAAATTGCGAGGAGGTTGAATATTGGACTATTGAATAAAAATGTCTGCTGGGTGTGACCCTTTAATGCTGAGATCCTTTTCTGTGTCTGTAGATGGTTTTAGCCCTGAGCATGGTGTTACCTTTGAAACCACCATTATTGACAAATTTGAAGTGGCTTTTGGCTCTGAAGGGGAGACGTTGAGCCTCGGCTGCACTGTCATCATTTATCCCACTGTGAAAAAATACCAGCCTGAAGTCGTGTGGTACAGAAACTGTAAGTGAAAGAATAAAATGGAAATTGTGTGTTATTGTCTTTCTGAGTATTAAGGTATCAAACCCCACTTCTTTTGGTAATCTCCTGTCTCATCAGCTGTCCCATTAAAGCCCTCTAAGTGGGTGCACACTCACTGGTCTGGGGAACGTGCCGTACTCACTCTTGTCCACCTTAACAAAGAAGATGAGGGCATGTACACCCTGCGCGTCAACACCAAATCTGGCTATGATACCTATGCTGCCTACGTGTTTGTCAGAGGTAAAGGGCTTAAAATCCTCATCTAAAGGTTACTTTTTTGCAAAAGAAGTTACTTTTAGTTTTGTTTTAAACCAAACTGTTGCAAGTGTTATGTTCAAACTGCTGCATCATGTCATAGATGCGGTGGGGAGGTGCTAAGTTCTGCTGTGTCTTTAAGTGAGGTGTTTGGTTCCCTCTGAGAATTTTTATATCTATATATATTTATATCTGTGTGAGAAAACCAGCTCCAGAGACTGTTTTCTGGAAATCCAGCATAAAGATTAAAAATATAGGGATTTAGTGATATAAATGTATCTTAGTTGCAGTCCTGCCACTCATACTGTAAACAAGTAGGTCAGAAAATGGAAACTGGATATGTAATAGAGATCAGCTTGTTTTAAAAACAGCACCACTCACAAGTAACTCAAGTAACACAAGTAACTGTGTGTGTGTCTCACTATGCCAGATGCCGATGTAGAGGTTGAGGGGGTACCCGTAGCCCCCCTGGATGTGCGCTGTCATGATGCCAACAAGGACTATGTTGTGGTAACCTGGAAGCAGCCAGCGGTGGAAGGCAGCAGCTCCATCCTGGGGTACTACATCGACAGGTGAGTCAGCCTCCTCTCTTATGGTTTACATCATTTTGCTACCATTTTATATGAAATTGTAAAAAACAAGAATAGTCCGCTTTCATGGGGGGCATATGATACTGTGTACAGCATATGCAGTGAAACTGGTTTAATTTTGGATGTTTCTGTGTTGGAAATCCAAGTTAACACCTGGTTTACAGCATTCACTAATCTAAATGTTTCCAGGTGTGAGGTGGGCACCCATCACTGGGCTCGGTGTAATGAAGTCCCAGTCAAGTACGCTCGCTTCCCTGTCACAGGACTGGTGGAGGGGCGGTCTTACGTGTTTAGGGTGCGTGCCGTAAACAAGGCCGGAGTCAGCCATCCATCCCGCGTCTCTGAGGCCGTGGTAGCCATGGATCCCTCTGACAGAGCACGCCTCAGAGGTGAGACACAGACACATCACCTGCTGACACACTTCAGCCATGTAAACGAATTAACCTTCTTTTTTTAAATTAAATCTATTTAATTCATTTTTCCAAACAGCTGGACCCTCAGCTCCTTGGACTGGAATGATCAAGTTCACAGAGGAGGATCCGACAGGTACGGCACCTTTTTGCTGTCTAGTTTCAGAGAATTTTAATTTTAGTTGTCTTTACAAAAAGGTTTTAAAAAGCTATTGAACCTCAATATCTTTCTCATTTGGCCAAACAGGTCTAATATATGGACTTGACCATCCCACTCAGCTGCTTGCACATCTCTTAGGTTTACAGTAACAGTCAAGCAACTCTCCTACTCTGATTTAGACATTTTCTCATATGGCTCAAACACGTATGAGATGTGGGCTCCCTTTCTTTGATTTTAACCGCTATAGCCATCACACGGCTTCCTGAGTGATGCCTGTCTCATTAATCAAGGGGAACTGTAAGCTATTTTTCATTAATGTTTAAGGGGGTTGAATGTGCTATTTTTAATCAGAAATTCAAACTTCACAAAAAATTCAGAGTTGTCAAAATCAGGAATTTGCATGTGTCTGATTATGAAAACTACCACCCCAGTCTTTGTAATAGGTTAGGTTGGGATATGGTATTTGTGGTATTGGTTTATTATTGTCTCAGTTCTTTTCCCCATTTTTTTTAAACAGTTGCTTCATTCCTGTAAATTTCAGACTCATTACTGTAGGAATAAACAACCTCATACATCCAATCAGACAAATATCAGCATCAGATATCTGGTCAGTCTTATAACTTTAGACTATGTTTAATACATGAAAAGCTTATATAGTAAAATACTGTTTGTACTGAGAGAACAGTCTGCATAGATCATGTGGTTTTGCTATTAGCGTTTTGGTGTCAGTACAGTCACTTCAGCACTTACCTAGTTGCAGTTGTCGTGTCTAAATGATGAGTATCTTCTTGCCTCTTCAGTCGTGTAGTCCCAGGAGAACCAACTGATGTTGTGGTTACTGAGGCAACTAAAAGTTATGTGGTACTTGCCTGGAAGCCTCCAGCCCAGAGGGGTCATGAAGGAGTCATGTATTACATTGAGAAGGTGAGAAAAACATTCAAAAACTGTCCCATAGAAATAAATATATATATATATATATATATATATATATATTAGGGGTGCAACGATACACAAAATTCACGGTTCGGTTCGGTTCGATACTTTGGTGTCACGGTTCGATATTTTTTCGATACAAAAAAATGTTCATGCCTTTTTAATTTGTCATTTATTAAAATTATAAATATATATTTTAACTCAAGAGTACAGTTTTTAAATTTAACCCTAACCCTTGTGCGTGTTTTTTATTTTGACAGCGAATGCGCACCTGCGGACCACTTATGTGCAGCCCTGGTTATTTAGCTCGTCATATTGCAGCCACAGAAATAATTTTGTCCATGAAACCATAAAGCTGCACTTTCTTTTTGCCTTATAGTCTGATTTGTCATAACTTTTCCGTTTTGTGGTAAGCTTTTCTTTGGCTGTCACTTCTTCACCCTGACCTGTCTTATTTGGCTCAGCAGAACTAAAATATATATCTGTCTGTGAAGGTTCTCAGTCATCCAGGTCATCGTAGTCAAATATAAATCCTGCTGCTTTTACACACGCACTCACATAAGCTCAGCGATTCTCTGCGCGATCAACCTCTCACATGTTTAAGCTGCGGGAGATTTCACTTGTCATGTTTGCATAGTAAGCTAACGATTAATAAGACGATGTCAGAGGAATTGGTGCACAAATTATCATCACTCACCAATCAGTACTGTCGCTCTCTATGCACAGTTCGCGCGATTGCAAAGTGAAAGCAAAAAAACAAGCGCAAATTCAAACGCGATTTCAATATGTCACATATTGACAGTGGCTCACCGATGCCAATGACATAATAACCCAGCTACATTTCCGAAAGAATGCAAAAGCATTGACATATATTTTTCCTTCCTACAATAGCCCGACGGGCAGGGAAGAGATACATTTTGGTACCCCGACTGAAAAAATTGCTAGCCCCGGGACGTTGGGCTAGCGATATTGCGAGCCCTGTATCTGATTGAGGAATCACTCATCTTTGGAAAAGAGAGTTTATTACAGAGAAATGGCTCTTTCCATAATAAAGGCTATACTATCCGCTTCTTCTGGGCTATATTCTCAGCAGCATAAGGAGAATCATGTGCTAACAGCTGTCTAAATGACTCGGCTAAAGTTAGTAGCATGCTTGTTGTTTTTTTTCTGCTTCCACTTGTCTTTGCACTAGGATGATGTCGGCGTAAATGTGCAGTCATATTCGTTGTGTTCCCACTAGTGCTTTCAGGTTAATCTCGTTGAAATGACCTTAACGCCACAACACGGCAAATCTCCGTTAACGAGCTACCGCCGATCGCCCCGTGCATGGGGCTAGACGGCCAACACGTTAACGAGCTAACTGCGCTAACACACTAGTTCCCACCTATGTATTTATTCTTATTGTATTCTAATTTTTGCCTCATAACTTTTGCACTGTCCACTTCCTGCTGTGACAAAACAAATTTCCCACGTGTGGGACTAATAAAGGTTATCTTATCTTATGTAATTGAGCATTGCGTGGCACATCCAACATACTGTTTTACTTTAGTCCATGACTCGCTTACCTTCAGGGTCATACGTCACATGAAAACCAAAATAATTCCAAACGCCAGATCTGAATGAGAGTGGGGAGGTCCATGTTGTAAGGAGAGCTTAACTTCTGTCTCGCTAGCTTGCCCTGCGCTCTTCCTTCTGACGATGCTGTCTGTGAGCGCTCAGTGGATCTGCGTTCGACTACTCCGCCTAGGCTGCACTGTCGACCCTAGGCGGAGTAGTCGAACGCAGATTCACTGAGCGCTCAACACAGACAGCATTGTCAGAAGGAAAGTTGATAAAAGAAATTACAAATGTTGTATTGTTCGATACATATGCGTACCGAACCGAAAGCACTGTATCATATATATATATATATATATATATATATATATATATATATAATAATATAATATATATATATATATATATATATATGAGTCAAACTACTGGACTGATGAGAAGAATCAGTTATATCGTTTGTTATATTTAAAATCATTATGGCAAATAAAACAAAGTTTCTAATCACTTAGCTAAGTCTTAACTCTTCTCCTTTGACGCTCTTAAACTATTTACTGCTGATAGCTAAAACAATTTAACTTGTAAATGTGAGGGGTCAACATATTTTGCAGAGACAATGCAAAATGAAAGCTCCACAGTAAATACACCAGTGTAAAAATGCTCGTTTCTAATTGATTTCCTTTGGTCATACAGTGCATTATGCAAAACAAACAATAATGCAAAGAAAACTGAAAACAAAATGATGTTTATATTTTACCTGAATTCCCCATAATTTGTCTCTAAACAAATACAATGACAAAGACCTACAGACTTATTATTAGAATAGTGATATGTGAAAGCAAGCATATGGGACATTATATAAATAATCATACCTCACCTGTTTCATATAGAGATGGCACGATACCACTTTTTTATGTCCGATACCGATACGATATCATAAATTTGGATATCTGCCGATACCGATATGAATCCGATATAGTGTTTTTTAATCAACAAAACTGTTTTTATAAAATATCTTGCTGCATTTTGCAAGTCTGCAAGTTCATACTCAAGTTTAAAACAACAACTACACTAAAGCTATTCTGTTATACCTGTATACAAAAAAAAATTTCATAGTTCAGCAATACTGATCAATCGAATAAACTTAGACCTACACCATCCTCCCTATTCTGGTATTTTAAAGAGTACTTATCGTAAATATTAAGCAACCTAACTAATAGGGTTCCAACTCCCAGCAACAACAAAAATAAATAAATAAAAAATAGGGAACCACCCCTCACGCTCCACCTCATGATGCTTAATCAACGTAATCAACCTTAATTTGATGCAGTGTGAAAAAAAAATGCACAGAAATCAATTATTTTCAAGAAATATTAAATAGATTCAACATCTTTCTTCAACAAAATTGCAGACTGCACAGATGGTACCTTCCCAAAGGAAAAAGTACTATAGCTTACTAGGGTATATATATTAGACTTAATAGTCACTATATACAGTAATTGACTTCTATTCATTTTACATCAAATTAAAACTTTGGGTGTCAGATAATTATTTATTAAAAGCTCGACATTTTAAATGAGAATAAGAAAGAAAAGTATGTCTTTGTGCCCCTTTTCCCAGTTAATGCCCTATCGGCCCCCTGGCTAAACTTTGCTAGATCCGCCCCTGCACAGTTACCAGCCGTCAGCTACATAGAAAAAGATCCTGGAGTAGAAAGTAATAATAAATAAATTCTAACAACAGCTTATCAAGCTTAAACGTGCTGCTGTTGTTCAGCCGCTGGTTTCCTCTTTCTGGTGCAAAGTGGACCAAAAACAAACAAGAGAGACGGACTCGCGACAGAAAAGCCGATCAGCTGATCATTTAAGCAGTTTCACGATTGAAGTAGCAGCCAGAGAGCGAGAGGCAGTCGCTTGTTAAGCTTAACGTGGGATGCTTTACAAACATTCAGAGATGGACTTACACACTTGCTTTACTTCTCTCGGGATAACTTTGTCGGAGATGAAATGCCAGGTTGCTAGCGAAGCTCCACATGCTATCCAGACCACCAACAGGTCCCGCATGCCACAGCCGCTCTATCACCTGATGCATACTGCTCCGACTGCTAACGTTCTGAGGTGAGTTACGGTGTGTTGCAAGTTTTGTGAGGTGCTTTCGTGATATTTAATGGATCGGATTACA